CATGTGTCTGTGTGTCTGTGCATATGCTCCGAAAAGTTCGGAATATATGCACAGATACACAGACACATGACAAACAGACATTAACTCACCTTCAGTATGTGAATGTCTCTTTGTGTCTGTCACTGTCGAAGAGCGAAAAGAATGAAGAGATTAGACAAGTTAGCGTAGAGCCGAGCTGGCCTCGTACCATTTCGTCATCAGTCGATATCGATTTATCGACTTTTTGCAAACTTTGCGCTTCGGCCTGGGTACTGCTATAAGTAGGTGTGCGAGGGTGCTGATTACGGATTCAATAAATATCAGTTTTCAAGGCGCTATTCTACAGTCGCTTCATTTCATATGATCATATGTGCCATTGCACACACAGTCTATTTGGCGTCCTCATCCTGGATTTGCAATCGCAAAAACGCAAGAGACTTACCGCTTGTTATCGATTACATGGAATTGAGGTGACTAGTAACTAAAAAGGAAAGAAAATGCTAAGAACACCTTGGAAACACTTACCTGAAGGCTTGTTTCTCCCACGAATCCAGGATGGGGACGCCAAAGGTGGACTGTGTGTGTAAGACACACATGATCATATGAAATGAAGCGACTGTACATAAGTTGACCCAAAAAAATGAAAATCTGAATTTCGCTAAAACTCCTTTAGGGAGGTTATTTGATGCGCTGAACACGAATATGATGTTTATCTCATGCGACATCGCCATCCGGTGGAATTACGGTAGGATTACGGCAGGGGTCAAAATCACGGATTTGCCCGAAACTTGGCCCAGAGGGGCTATTTGGCCTGCTGACGCCGGATATCACATTGGTTTCGTACCGTAGCGTCATTTTCTCGCGTTAAGGTGGGTGTGCGGTAGGGGGGTCAAAATCTCAAAATCCGCTGTAACTTTGCACAGAGGGGTTATTCGACATGCTGATTACAAATGTCACACTTTCTCCGCATAAAAACGTCTCCTTGCATGGTTACAGTAGGTTTACGGTAGGGTCAAAATCACAAATCGGCAAATGTATCTCCCCCCTGTGCTATGCTTAGGCAAAAAAGCCACAGCAGGGTGTGTAGCGCGCGGCGGCGGTCATGTGTGCAAAGCTTCACGATCGTTCAAATCGCCGTACACCCGTTTCAGGCAGAACTTTTACACCCGTCACCGTGTAGCTACCGTAACCCAAGAAAATGACGCTACGGTTCAAAACCAATGTGATATTTGGCATCAGTGGGAGGATTAACCCCTCTGGGCCAGATTTCAGGCAAATCCGTGATTTTGACCCCCTACCGTAATCCTAACATACCACCGGATGGCGCTGTCGCGCGAGATTGACTTAGAGGATAAGCAAGTGTGCTGTGTTGGAATTATCAATTTACATACGTACATTAACATGATATCTGAGTCAGAGTAATCTGTAACCATTCGCGGCGGTATCCGGCCAAAATGTGCGAACTTAATATTTTTAACGACTTTCATGAAGACGTGAGTTCGTAAGCTCAGAGTTCGGCGAATAATGCAGATAAGAGCCTACCTTAAGCATGCTCTGACAGCACTGCCTATAGTGATTTCAAATTACAAAAAGGAGCGGGTAAGTTGTTCAATAGATACGCGAAAAAGGCAGGCAAATTTAGCTTGCGCAGTATTGCAGCATTCCTCTCATTATAACCCTGCTAAGAGAACTTACGCAGCACAAAGAGCACTATTTTGTAATCAGCTAGTCCGAAAACCTTTATAGGCAAAGTTTCGGGTAAATCCAAGATCATCAATATTTTAGCCAAAAACCGTTCGGCGAGCTTCAATAGCCTAGAACGAGAAAAAATCAAAAGGCCTGAATTTCTTGGAAAACTTGCGTATATAGGTTATCTAGCCTGCTGATTACGAAAAACACATCAGCTTTGCAAACTATCGTCTCACTGTATAGTTACGGTAGCTTAACTTTGGGAGACGTCTTCAAAATTCACCGGCCTATCTCCCTCTATGAGAAAGGAGTCCTCCGCTATTCGCTAGTGCATGATAATCTACGGAAACAGCTCTACCGAACCATGTTTATTGAAATCCTCCATGTGTGTTCTTCGCTGAGTTCCACCACTACGGAAACTCGTCCTCACACAAAAATCGAGCAAAGTGAAAACGGAATAGTAAGAGAGTGCAGTCATCAGAAGATTCGTCTTGACGAGATGAATATCACGCTTTCTTCAGGTTCATATTTTATGCAATCTGGAAGATGTTATGAAGAAACGAAAACGCGGATCGTCATTTTTTGCGTTTTCTGTCTAATATTTAGTGTGGGTACTGTAAAATCTCCTACTTCTAAGACAAAGAAATCTTTAGGGGATCATTTAATTCAAAAAATGTTACTCAACCCAAAAAATGTAACCAGTGTTTTGCTAGAAAGTCCTCTGTATCATCAGCTTTCACTAATCTTCAGCTACCTCGCTCTGCGGCTTCAACTCAGTTCACAACACGAAACAAGTCACTCTTCTATGTCATTACTGTAGAATTACGGTAGAGAAACTTTCAGCACGATGTCGTCATTGCGAATCTTCTACGGTATGATAGACCCGCTGACTTTGTACATGTTTGTAGACAGTTCAGCTAGTATGACCATTTTTGGTGATCGGTGAGACCGCTAACGGCAAAGCTGTTTGAACATTTGAATTAATCATTATTGTTGAGAAAAAAAACCTATCCAAGGAATAAGCAATGCTAATTGATTTTGTAATAGAGCTTACAGTTCTCCTCAATTGTTTTAAATTTTCCTCATCGGCTCTTTCCTTGCATGCTCTTACAGTCGGTTCATTTCATAAGATCATATGTGTCATTGCACGCACTGTGCACTTTGCCGTGCTTGTCCTTTTTGGTAGTAAACACCAGTGAGTCCCAGGATTTCCGTCCGAAGGGAGGGGAAGAGGGGGAGGAGGGGGGGGGGGGGGGAAACGAGGCAAATTTTGTTGTGCAAAACGTGCGTGGCGTGGGGCTGGGCTGGGCTGCTGGGCTTGCATCATACTCTTTGAGATTTTTGCCCCAGCCGGCTATCCAGTACTTATTTAGCTACTGACAAGGAGAAGATACTTACAAGGGAAGTTCGCTTAGTCGAAGTGACGATTCGAAAGGTGATCTATACCAGTGGATAGATCACCTTTCGAAAAAACGCTGATTCCAGATATGCCTTCTATATCTGCAATGCATTTTCCTGAAAAGTTATGAGCTTTTCTAATGCCAAATTTTCGCGCATTTTGAGCCACAAAATCATGATAATTTCTACATAAAAACGTGCAAGCTTAAGCAAGCCACCTAGAAAGCATTGTAGGTCTAATCTGAGTTCATCCGAACGTTTTCGAGTGTTTCCCGACCATGTTGTTCATACACAGGACGTCATCTCCTTTCTAGATGATACTTCCATTAGATATACAAAAAGGCCATAACTCCATTCAGAAAAGCGCGTCGCAGATATAGAAGGCATATTTGAGAACAGCGTTTTACGCTCAATCCATTGGTATACATCACCTTCCGGATCGCCACTTCGAGCCAGCGAACTTCCCTCGTTAGTCGAAAGCACCAATCCAGTTGAGAAAATGTCATCGTGACCTGCTCAGAGCGCTGATTTCAAATCTGTCCTCCTTATCTGCGGAGCCCCTCTGAGTGAGGAGCTATAACCGTTTCAAGAGCCAAAAATTGAATGGTAAAGAGAATAAAATTGATTGTTACAACATGTATATTTCGCAGGTAGACTCGTTCTAAGTGTGGGTATAGCAGACAGACATTTTTCTTTAAAGCAATTGCTCAGAGTAATCTGACAGACATCACCCCCCATTCGAGACCAACTTGAGACTTCTGCGTATAATTTTTTTTTCTTTGCTCGAATTCAAATTTTCCTCACAAAAACAGCCACAACTCGTTGCCCAAAGGCGCTCCGCAGCTGATTTTACCACGTTTGAAATCAGCGCTCCGAGCACGTCACGATGATATATGCCCCATCTCGATTGGTGCTTTCGACTAAGTATCTCCTTGTGAGATCCACACGAAGGAATTTTGGCGCCACTTCAAGAGGAATGACACCATAGTGTACTACCGAATCTAAAAGTAAAGTCTTTTGGCACATCATGTATACATATGCTTAAATATAATTTTACTAGATTTTTCTATCAATAAAATATTGTCTCGAAACTCACTGGACTGGACAGCTACTGAAATAGCGCAATAACAGATTCTGCTCGAAACAAGTGAAATTTGATATATCACACACACTCAGTATAAATCTAACAACATTCGGTAACGCCGAATCAGGATAGATACGCCACAGAACAGATACAACGGATCTTTGATCCAAAAGTTATAATTTAGAAAATGGAGCTATAGTGTGGATCCCTGCTTTCCCATAGATACCTCCGCGGCGCAACCGCGGCGCAACCAACCATTTCTTGATGCTTCTCACCTCATTTGTGAGCAATAGAGCATATCTACGCACCATAGAGGAGAATTGAGAAGTGGAAACCCATAAATACACTTCGAAAGAAACGTATACAAGAATGAAACGCACGCAACCTCCATTAGTACCTCGAATTCTTCAATCAACGCTGTAAATGTCAGACTTGCACTGATGGAAAAGAGGTAATAAGTAAACGTAGAGCAGAAAAAGAACAACCGCATTCTCAAAACGTTTCTCTTCGTAAACTTAGAAACTAGAATGTAAAATAACTCAAAAAACGTGGATATTTCCGTAAACAAATCTCTACCGGCTTCTCGAAAAGCTTAATTTGACTTGATACACCGTCTACACTCTAAAAATCAAGTCGAAAGGACTCTTTTTTGGTACAAAAAGCTTTTGAAGAAAAGCAAGGAATTCCATCGACAGGAGGCGCGCTGAAGGCGTGCGTTGCGGATGCGTCGCGCAGGTACCTATGGGAAGCTGGCCGGGGTCCACACTATAACAAGCAACATCGCATAAGTTAGGCACCTTCTAAATAGAATATTATTTAGCTTTTCTTTTGTTGGATTTTACGATATTTTCTATCGCCAATGCACCATCTCATCTGTTCTCTGAGTCAACATCTGAGTCCGCATCTGAATCAAATCAGATAGTGTAAATGAAAAGAGTTTTGATGCGAGTAGAATTGACTGACCAATAATAATGGACGAAGAGCTGAGCGTAAGGAACTGAACAGATCCGGAAAGATACGAAGAGCTGAGCGTAAGGAACGTAAGGAATTGAACAGATCAAAGATGAGTTCCTGTTGGGCTAGCAGCTAAAAATCAAAGCTTCAAGAAGTATTTAAAGAAGTATTGAACCTCAGATTTCCGTACCTGTTTGATCTTATGTCTTTCCGTTGCTTGATTGAAGCAAGCTGGGCAATTCTCAGCGACAACTGGTAAACCACGGGAATCGGCAAACTCACGCAGTGCTCTTTCCCGAACGAAGATTAACGGGCGAATCACTCTCAACGTTCCATCGCTAAAATACTGCTTGGTTTTACAAAAAAAAAACGGAAATTTCAGTAACAGACGTGCTAGCAACTTCACAAACTGACTAAAAATACAAAAAGTGTACTTGCCGAGTCTGTTACTGCGCCTTCATTGTGCTCATATTGGCATTTTGAAAAGCAGCGATGAGGAAACTGAAAATGATGAACTTAGTAGAGAAACAAATCTGCCAAAATTTGGAAAAACTGGGAGTTGGTCACTTCTGAAGTAGGCTCACGTCAAAAGTGACCAATAATGATATTGAGCCTAATCGTATACGATGTACGTTAACCAAGCAAATCTCCAAGTTATTCTCATAATGACGAAGAGGTGATTCGTAACAATGCTGATAATAGTGATCACATTTGAACTGCTCCTCAAAGAAATTCCACGAAAAGAGTAAAGCTCATAGGAGTACACGGCGTATTTTTTGAATGACGCACAGTCGCCTGATTCATGTGACATCACCGTAGCGTGGCCATATATCGCCTCAGAGAAATTTTTATGACACCGTTCGACACAACTCGGCGCGGCGCATCTTTTGATATTACAAGTGCCCGCCTGGACACAGTAGAAGGTTAGATTCCACGAATTGCTTACGGTACATTGCAGTGATTGCAATGAATAAGCACACTTAGAAAACTATCGCAAGTAGAAATCTGAAACGATTCGTAGAATCTGACCTCCTATTGTGTCCAAGCGGGCGCTTGATATTTCAGAAAACGCGCCGCGCCAAGCTGAGTCGAATTGTTTTTCCGGACTAAGAATTTGTCTACTCTGAAGCGAGGTATGGTCCCGCTACGGTGATGTTACATGGGGCGACTGTGCGTTCTCAATATTCTCAAAAATATGAGTGGTAAGTAACTCATGGATGTTCTCTGCTCGTGAGACTACAATATATTTATGAGGCCAAGGATTTTAAAATTTTACAATACAAGCTCACATTTTTTCCAGAATCAGGAGGTTGAACAACCCAGGTAAAATGCTCGAGTATGATAATATCGTGGCTTAACCATTCAATTTAGAGGAATTCACAAAATCTAAACCTTGACTGATTACAAGCAGAAATCTAACAAAAACTTCCAGAAGTTGATCAGTCTGGAAGTACTAATCTACTTCAAAAAGACAAGGTAGGCGGTTAGATGAACTTAGCAAGCATAGTACAATCCCATTGAAACAAAATTTGGTCAGGTTCATTTTTTTTTAGTGGTGGTCCAGAACTTTTGCGAGGCACGCCAGAAACGTTTTCTCATATGGAGGATATGTCAAATCTTTCAGAAAACTTCCCAGCTTTATAAATTTCTCGCCCGTCGCTTTTTACAAAACTTGATTGAACATAAGGCTCGTAAAATTATTTCAAGTATTTGTTATCAAAAAAATAAGTGAGAATGGATTGCTAGATTGTAAAACATATGACATACAGCAACAACATAAAACATATACAAAAATACATATTTGTTCGTAAATGCTCAAGTTTAGAGGAATATCTTTTTGTCTTATGTTTACGCAATTAAAATTACCTCATATGAAGCCTCAACTACGTTCGCACAACAAGGCCTCCATAAAAAATGGGTAAAAGCTCAAACGTTTTTGGTGCCTATTAGGGAAAACTAGTTAATGCAAAGAACAGTAATCTTTTCACCGGTCATGGAAAGTGTGACGCCATTTCCGTATCACAATAATATTACCAAATATTACCAGTTTAGTTTACTAGTTTACATAACTCACTCATGCAGTTTATGTATGTAACTGAGCGAATAATTTAGCATAAACCTATAAGCAATAAGTGATATGAAAGGACCATCATAGCTGTAGCGCAGTCAACTTTATTTCCTTCAGACTATATACAGTTTTACTCCTTATAATTTCCGAAAAAAATTGTAGTCTCGCATTTTAGGTAACGTAACAATGAGGTTCTCCATACTTTGCTTCATTCTGGTTTTTCATCGCTGGTCGCTGCGATTCCAAGATCTCATCGCGTCCAAAACCCACTTGATCGTGAAATCTCTCTGGAGCCATTTCTCAACACTAGGACTGCATTCACTCGAGCAGCGCTGGACTACTATCTCAATTCTCAACGATTACAGAGGATAAGTATGGGAGCAATTATACTAATAGCGATTTCAATCATAACTCGCTTTTCAGACTATGTGGCCAAAGAGATCAAACTGCTCTTCCGCGGTGTAAGTTTGTCTATATTTGGGCTGCATCAGTTTCCGCATGCCAGCGTCGTGCTAGCGGCGTGCCAGCATCTACGCGGACGCGCTTCTACTAATCGATCGATACGCCAGCACGGCGCTGGCATCGCAACTCTAAATGCTTAGTTGAGACAGTGCGTTCACTCCAAGGACTGCAGTGTATGTCTTGATTCCAGCTTTCCGAATTCCACTAAAAATAAGCGTGTATCTGGTGTGAATGACATTGAGACTGGTCGTGTAGATATCCCCAACGATCCAGATGCAATCATCGCATACGTCAAAAGGTGAGAAAAAGAATTTTTCACATTTGCGCCTAACTCCCACTCTCCTGTAGAACTCCGGAAGCGAAGAATGTTGACGATGCTATGGATTTGCTAATGGATAATCTGAGCGAAGTCAGCCTAAACACCAAGGATCTTTTCCAAAGTAGGCAACAAAATCCCCACATGATGAAGAGCGCGGTTATGAACTTTCAATGGTGGAAGAGAATTTTCGCCGCGGTTTCTGCACCGCGTGCGCAGGTCGCGAACCAAATTACCAGAGTCATCTCCGACTTCGAGACAGCTTATTGTCATAAGCTGTCTTGAAGTCGCATCCACAGCAGTCAAGAACGATGTCGCGAAGACCTGGTCTGAGGCCTACATTCTGCTTGAAAGTAAGAAGAGTCTGACATGGGGCTTTGGATTTGACAAAAATCCATTTTCAGGCAATTTCGCCACCAACTTCGCCGCCGCAGCAAAGAAACTCGCCAACGGCGGTCTCTCCATGGATTTCAAGATTGTTAGTACCAGAACTTTTCTTTTATAAGTCTGCTAACTCCTAGCATTCCATTTTAGCTGACTGCCGATGCTGACCCCAACAAAGGCTTCCAAAATCAAGATCAACAATCGTGCTAGCCTTGATGATATCTGGATTTCGAGTGATCCTTACCGGAATCTTTTCTTGTTTATCATGATATGCGCACTTTATTAACCTTGAATGGGTCATGCTAATCTATTAGGTTGTTGCAAAAATAATGTCCATTTTTCTAGACCTACATTCCAAACAACTTTTTTCCCATCAGACTTTCTTTTTCGATATAGCATCTGCACATCATTGGAAAGCTATCTTTATGCACTTTCTCATGGCGGTGAAATTAAGCTGCTATCCTCACTTGTGAGACTTCACCAGCATTTTCCACATCCGCACTCAAAATCAGAATCTCATAGCTTCCACTTTCTTGACCACAATTCAGGTGCAAATAAACGAATTCTTCTGGAAACATAGCAAGTGTATTGAATGAAGACTGTTTACCTACTGCGTGCTTATGTAGATTTTTGGAGAAATGTGGACTGAGAAATTGACGCGTCAAAATAGGCACTCGCTGCTGGCATTCTGTGGGTCAGAAATTTCTCATAATTAAGGCAATCGCCAAAGCTTCGCCCATTTCTGTCAGCTTGAAATTAGCACACCTTAACTACATTATTTGAAGACAAACTTAGCTATTGTTGTGTTAGGGATAGTAAATGATCAGCTGTTTTTCCTCGCTGTGATTGATCTGCCCTCGCGCATTCGATCTTAGCCTCAGAGTGCGCGGGAAATTGAGCGCTATAAAAGGCGCTCACTCTTTGCCTCATTCAGTTCAGTTCAGTTCGTCTGTTCACTCATCGCCTCTTTTTATTTACTGTTCTCTATATTTATTTCTAATAAATATCCTTTGTTCCTCGCGTGCTACCTCAGGACGAAGATTCGACGTGTCCGACGCGGAGGACACAACAGTGGCGATCAGGACGTGCGGCTATTATCGAAGAAGTAGCCGAAGGACGAAGCCCGAGGAAATCAAATCGAAGAAGAAGCTGAGGAGAGCTTAACCGATTTGATCGATCGACATGGCGAAAGTGGACGTACGGGAGATGATGACGATCTTCAAGGAAATGATCAAAGAAGAAAGAAAGGAAATGATGGAGATGTTCCTGAAACACATCGGCGGTACGAAGCAGAGCAGTTCGACGGAGATTCCGAGTATGATGTCCGCACTGAGCAATCGGATCGAAAAATTCTACTTCGACCCCGAAGCGGACATGTGCTTCAGCAATGGTACGCCCGCTACAAGGAAGTCTTCGTCGAAGATGCGAAGCAGCTCACAGAGAGTGCCAGGGTGAGGCTGCTCTGCGAAAAATTGGACAAGGACAGTTTCGAAAAATACCAGAGGCATGTGTTACCAAAGGAGGTGACCTCGATCAATTTCGAAGAAACCGTCGAAACATTAAAGCAGCTGTTCGACGTGAAGATTTCGGAATTCACTATGCGGTACCAGTGTCTGAAACTGGAGAAGGCAGATTCCGAAGATTACCTCCTGTACACCGGTCGAGTGAACGAATTGTGCGAAAAAGCGAAGATCCATGACTTGGACAGCGATGGCATAAAATGCTTACTATGGATATTTGGCCTGAAGAGCCAAAAGGAAGCCGAAATCAGACAGCGACTCATTGCCGTGCTGGACAAGGAATACAAAGCTGGACGAAAAATGTCGCTACACGAATTGTACTTGGAGTGCGAAAACTTCCTCAGTCTCAAGAAGGACAGCGAGACTGTAGCTGGTTGCGCGAAGATTGTCGAAGCAACAAGCAAGGAGGAACCCACGAAGCTGGAATGCTGGAACTGTGGTAAAGCTCACTTTGCCAGGGAATGCAAGGTGAAGCAGTGGTTTTGCAAGAAGTGCAAGAAGACAGGTCACAAGAAGAAGTATTGCGAACAAGTGGCGGAGAGGAAAGCACTTGTTCAGCAAGATTCGAAACGAAGAATCCACAGAAGCAGCGACACCAGTAAGAACAGAAGTTGGACGAAGCCAAAACGTCATGTGCACAGCGTAGCGAAGATTGCGAATGCGATGGTGGATGTCAACTCTACACGCATGTATATCGAAGCAAAAGTGAATAGCCATCCAGTTAGTTTCCTGCTAGATACTGGATCAGACATCACGCTGTTGAACGAATCAATTTGGAAGAGCATGGGTGCTCCTCGTTTGGAAGAGACGAACGTGGTTGTCAAGAACGCTAGTGGAGGCTCCATGAAAGTCCATGGAAAGCTATGGTGTGAGTACGAAATCAAAGAATCCAAAAGCGAAGGCTACGCATACGTGACGCCCCACAACTCACTGCTAGGATTGGAGTGGATCCAGAAGAACGAAGATATGTCGTACCACTTAAGCAGAATGGTTGCTGAAGTGAAGACAGAGCAGCAAACCAGGGACATCGCTTTGAAGATAAAGGAAGCTTACCCAGAAGTCTGCGAAGAAGGTCTAGGACTCTGCACAAAGGAGTAAGCGCATCTGAGAGTTGACGAAAATGTTCGTCCAGTATTCAAGGCTTGCAGGCCTGTCCCCCATGCTGCACTCGAAGCTGTCGAAAAGGAGTTGGATAGACTATTGGAACTGAAGGTCATAAGTCCAGTAACACACAGTGAATGGGCAGCTCCCATTGTGCGTGTTAGGAAAGCGAATGGAAAGTTGAGAGTGTGTGCTGACTTCTCAACTGGACTCAACAAAGCGCTGGAGTCGTATGATTACCCGTTGCCATTGCCGGAGGATATATTCGCATCCCTCAATGGAGGCACGGTGTTTTCGCAGATAGATCTGTCGGACGCCTATCTGCAAATCGAGTTGTCAGAAGAAGCGAAGAAATTGGTCGTAATAAATACGCATAGAGGGCTGTATCAGTACAACAGACTGCCTTTTGGAATCAAGACAGCACCAGGGATCTTCCAGCAAATCATGAACAAGATGGCGAATGGTCTGCGAGGAGTAGCAACCTACCTAGACGACATCTTGGTTTGTGGAAGAACCGAAGAAGAACATATGGAGAACTTGCTAGCTATTTTTGCAAGGATAGCCGAATATGGATTCAGGATTCGGTTAGAGAAGTGTTCTTTCGGCAAGCCAGAAATACGATATCTTGGCTTCATAGTGGATCGAAATGGCAGAAGACCGAACTCAGCGAAGATCGAAGCGATCAAGAGTATGGATGAGCCGAAGAATGTTAGTCAACTGAGGGCTTTTCTTGGCATGGTAACGTACTATGCGGCGTTCATGCCAAAGATCAAGGATCTTCGTGGACCGCTAGATGCAATGCTGAAGAAGGATGCGAAGTGGCAATGGGCACGAACACATCAAGAAGCATTCGAAAAGCTCAAGGATACATTGTCAAGTGAGCTCAATCTTGCTCACTATGATCCAAGACAGAAGATCGTCGTGGCAGCGGACGCCAGCGATTATGGAATTGGATGCGTGATATCGCACAGATATGCCGATGGATCCGAAAAGCCAATTGCACATGCATCGCGGTCTCTTACGAAAGCGGAGAAGAACTATTCGCAGATCGAAAAGGAAGCATTGGGAATTGTCTTTGCTGTCAAGAAATTCCACAAGTACATATTCGGACGAAAGTTTCTGCTACTGACGATCATCAACCACTGTTAGCCATCTTCGGTGATAAAAAGGGAGTTCCAGTCTACTCCGCTAACCGACTCATGAGATGGGCTACAATCTTGCTAGGATATGACTTCGATATAGAGTATGTCAAGACTACGAAGTTCGGGCAAGCAGATGGTTTTGTCACGGTTGATGAAGAAAAATCAGAATCCCGAAGAAGACGTCGTAATAGCTGCCGTTGAAAACGACGTAAACTATATGTTGAAGAACTGTATAAGGAAATTGCCAGTGACGGCATCAGATGTACAAACTTGGACGAAGAAGGATCCAGTACTTAGAAGAATACTCACTTACGTGCAGAAAGGAAGTTGGCCGGAAGTAAATGGAGAATTGGCACATTTTCGAAATCGAAGAGAGACATTGTCAATCGTGGAGCAATGTCTGATGTCAGCCGAAAAGGTTGTGATACCCAAGGAGCTTCGAAGAAATGTTCTGAAGGAACTACATATTGGTCATCCAGGGATTGTAAGGATGAAGAAACTGGCTCGAAGTTACGTCTACTGGCCGAATATCGACAAGGATTGCGAAGACTTGGTACGAAGATGCACGAAATGTCAGGAGTTAGCCAAAAATCCGACGAAGGTACCATTAGAAGCGTGGCCGTCCGCGACTCGAGTGTGGCAGAGGATACACATCGACTTTGCTGGACCGATGCAAGGAGTCTTCTACCTTGTAGTAGTGGACGCATACAGTAAATGGCCCGAAATGATCGAGATGAGCAACATTTCGGCTGCGAAGACGGTGAAAGCTTTGAAGAATTTGTTTGCAAGATATGGACTACCGCAAACCATAGTGAGCGATAACGGTACTCAGTTCACGTCGGACTTATTCAAGAAGATGTGTGACGAAGGTGGAATCACACACATAAGGACTGCTCCATACCACCCTCAGTCGAATGGACAAGCAGAGCGTTTCGTTGATACGCTGAAACGCGGAATCAAGAAACTAGAGGGGGAGGAGAGGCCAACAGAAGAGACTCTGAACGTGGTGTTACAAGCGTATAGGACAACACCAAATACGAACCTAAACGACAAGACGCCAGCGGAATTGTTCTTAGGCAGAAACTTGCGCACAAGATTAAGTCTGCTACTGCCGATGTCGGAAGATGCAGAAGATCCTCTCACGCAAAGACGACGAGAACGGATGAAAGATCAATTCGACAAGAAACATGGAGTATGTCGAAAGGAATTCGAAGTCGGTGACTTAGTGTACGCTAAGCAGTGGAAGCCACCCCACTTCCACTGGATAAAAGGAACCGTGATGAGACGTATTGGACGCGTAAATTATGAAGTTATGATTGGTGATGAGATATGCAAGAAGCATGCAAATCAGTTGCGACATCGAAGTGATAGCGAACAGGTCGCCGTACGACAACAACTCCAACAACAATCCGAAGCCTTGAAGATATTGTTAGATGTTCTGACAGAA